TTATGTAATTCTGTTTGATCTGACAATTCAAGTTCATTTCACTTAGTGGGAGATGTTAGATATCCAACAATAATAATTACTGTTTTAAAATTAGGCCATTTATGTAAGTAGTAGGTTGCAGAGATGGCAATTAATGGTAGGCAGCCATTTTTGCAAAGGTGTATAGAGAATATCACAAAATCACTTTATTTCCCTTCTCTGGTGCTGCCTATCTGCCAAGTTCATAAAAAGCAAATTGACATACATGAAAAATGTAGAAGTCTAATCCTGGAGAACAAAAGAAGGAAATTCATACAACTCATTAGGCAATGCCAAAATCCAGATATAGACAACTAAACTGTCACAACAAAAGCATCTAATTAACCTGTAACTCATTCCCTGTATATGGAGAGGCACTAATGCAATAAAGGACTCTACCACGAAAAAGAAATTAAACAGATGAAATTTCCATTGTCATAGGCAATCCAATTTAGAAAGAGAGAAGGTATTTGACCTGACATTAATAACATTCATTTACCACTACCTGATGGGGAAAAAACCAAATAAAACAAACTATCTAGGAACTGAAGACATGAAGAAATGATTGAAGGTAAGGATATATGTTTGCGCGCATGTGTATGGGTAGTTGGTTCAGAGAGAGTGGGTTAATTACGAAGAAGTACATAAAGTCAAAAAGTGAGGGTAGCTTACATAAATGTCTATACCAAAGAAAGCCAGGGAAGAATACTTAACTTGGAAATAATTAAAAAAATGCTGGAATTCTTTGTACATATTAGAATCATACACTTGCAGAATCATGTAGGTTGGAGATGAGCTTTAAGATCAAGTCTAACTGTTAACCCAGCACTGCCAAGTCAATCACCAAACCATGACCCTAAGCGCTCCATCAACACATCTTTTAAATACTTCCATGGACAGTGACTCCACCACTTCCCTGGGCAGCCTGTTCCAACGCTCGATAGCCCTTTTTATGTGTCAAAAATTTTCCTAATATCCAATCTAAACCTCCCCTGGTGTAACTTGAGATCAATTCAGCTTGTCTTACTGCTTGTTACCTGGGAGAACAGACCGACCTCCACCTGTCTACAACCTCCTCATAAGGCTTTTGCTCCAGATCCTTCACCAGGTTCCTTGCCCTTCTTTGGACACACTCCATCAGATAATCATTAGATGATAAACAAGCTTTTATAGAACATAAGATTACAAAACTTTATAGACAACATAAAATGAGAAACTATTGGGGATGTAGAGAATTAAAAGTCAAAATGTAAGCACTTTTTACTCTGAATGGGAAACTCTTCCTAGTCTGGCAGGACTAGACAGATTGGAAAAAAAAAGGTCATCAGGGACAGACTGGGGTGTGCCTAGGTTTGTTAGAGGTGTTTAAAACCTTGAAGAAGGCTGTTAATGTGACCTCTCCCACGATCAAGGGCTGCTTTTACTCTTTTGATTCTGTTCCCCATCCCACCAGGGGGAGTAAGTGAGATGCTGTGTGGGGCTTAGTTGCCACCTGGGATTAAACCACGACAACATTATGACGAAAAGTATTTTTAAATTATGTGATTTACATTTTTCTTATTGAGAATGCAGGTTTAATATGGGGAGAAAAGACAAAGATATAAGAAAGTCTATATAAAAAAGCAATCCAAAGCAAACAGCAACAAAACCTTCCACTCTGCAGCTAGGCTACAGTATTTCAATATTTGGTAAAACTGAAATATAAAGCAAATATCCAAAACTATAGTTTTGGTTGGGTTTGTTTTTGTGACTTGTTAAAACATTTGTACATTAAAACATTTGAAATGGATCCAATGTTTTATCACAAGCTGCTTTGCACCAGAGTAATCCATCCCCTGTTTAGGTGCAGCACTGATCTATAGGGCTGTTCCCATACTAAGCAGTTCTGCGATCTTGCTGGGGGCCTGTCAAAGAAACAAACCCCCCCAGCTGAGAGGGTGCAAAGCTGATGCAGAAGGCAATGAACCGTGGTAACAGCTCTGAGGCCAGACACAGCATCCCATATGTCTCCTCCTTTGGACTAATGGAAAACACACACCCAAGTAGGAGAGAAAGAATGAGTAAGACTAACACCCTCACTAGTACTGTATTCGCAGATCTTGGGTTAGATGACTAAATACGTTTCCTCCTTACATTTATGCTTTCTTTAATGAATTCCTTGCTTTATTTGGATGATAGTGTTATACAATTCAAAACCAGAGCAAGACAGTGTTTTAAAATAATGTCCCAGCGTAATGAAATGGGATGGTTTCATAGCCTGCAGTTTAACAGAAAGCTTGCACACACATTCATACACAAGCAAAATCAATGCACATGCAGATATAATTAGTTTGGAATTATGTTTTACTCTGTCTTTCTCCTCTCTGTACATTGTCCAAAACAGGGACAATCCTTGCATCCCTCAGAAATGAAACTCAGGTTTCATATTCTCATAGGTTCCAAAGCTCGAATGTGCATTCTGCTTTTGGCGCTAGCTCTTGTGTACAGGGGCCTATTGAAATAACTGTGACTCCTGAAGTCAACAGCACCATCAGGCCCTGGGGTGACCCATTTGGTCTCTCCTTTCTCTGTGTATTTTTTTGTATAACTGGTAGTAAAACACAAGTATCCCTCTTGCTCTCAATGCCATATGCAAAAAGTCAGATACACTTAATATTTTGTGTCTTGGAGCAGAAACATCCTGTCTCTGGACTGCAGCTAGGAAGAGTATGCTTTAACTGGGACACAGGACAAAAGTGTCCCTTTACAGAGTACATTCCTCTACTACAGTTTTTTGCTGCCTGACTTCTTGTTCCCGGGCCATTTTCCCCTGCAACCTATGGCTGCTTGCCAGAGGGTCTATCTGGAAAGCAGGTTGTAGGAGTTTGCCATTGCTTACCGAAACTACACAAAAGCCAAGCAAAATATTCACAAAATACTAATGAATTGTATTGTTTGGAGATATGGTATTAATCTCACTGTCTGACACATGCCATTATCAGAGGTTGGAAAAGAGACATAAAATAAAACCAGCTTGGCTGGGGTGGTTAATCTGATGTTACACTTTCAGATACCGATAAACCATGGGAGTGCAAAAATGCCTCATTTGTGAATTAGTACTCAATATATAAAAATTATGTATAATTTAGAGGTTTTGTGATGCACAATGCTGCAGAAGCAGAAAACCCCCAAGAGTTACTGTTTTTCTAACAAATGCCATAGAGGCATGATTTCAGACCACTTCCTTGTGCCCTAAAACACCCGTGACATCACTGGTGACACCAGCAGTTTCCCATTGCCGTTGTCCAAGGCTTCCATTGTGTGTACAGCCACACACATCCAGTCTGGTGCTCCGGCTTTATCGTTGCTTACACTGCACATGCGTTCTCTCTCAGCCCCAGCTGTAATATTTACACAACAGATTGGATTAGAATATTTGCAGGGAGCCTGTTATGAATACCTCTTCAAATAATTTTTGTGGAAAAACTTTTGTTTGCTGATTAGCTAGATAATAGCCTTCAGTTCAGTGTTTTTGGGTGAGGTTATTCAGAGAGACTGAAAAGATGGGGAGAAATTCATATACATACACGAGACGCCTACGTAGTGGAATATTCCTCCTGCACTCTAAAGTGCCAAGGCAGAAGTCAGCTCCAGAGCAGGAGCTGTGTACCTGTGCTAGCACAGTGCTGAGCTCAAGACAAAAGGTCCTGCTAAGGATGTTGTAAGGCAATGAATGCAGACCTTATCCTTTTGGATTTAAAACATAACTTTTTAAATAATACAAGCCAAAGAAGAAAGTGAAAATGATAGACTTGCCCTTCAGTCGTGTTGTAAATTTTATACATGACCGAACTTGGAGCGCTCCTTGCAATTCCTTCTATTTCTTGGCAGTTGTTTCTTGCCTCTTAAAGGTCTGCTCCTAGTCTCAGGTCTCACATTTAATTGTTTGTAATTATAATTAGAATGTAAGATCCTCATCTTCCTGTGTGTTCACGAAGGCAGGAACACCTCTGATCACAGCAAACTCCTACAAAACGATAATTATGTTTATAAGGAAATGGATAAAGGAAAAAAGCCTATTCCCAGGATGAAACTTTGTGCAGTCTTGAGTAAATGATAAATTGGGGGTTAATACCAGGGGAAATAATGTCAGAATTTAACAAGACTGGTGAAGAACAAAGAATTTAATCCAGGAAGGCTACATGTAAAAAAAAATAATTAAAATCCTCTGTTTGAGACAACTGTCCTGATTTATTGCCTGAAATTCACCTCTGTGCAGAGGGGCCTGTCCAAAGCCTTTACAAATCTCTTATTTCAAAAGCTCATGCAAGATCCAAGCAGTGCCCAGCCTTTATGCATATCTCTGTGAAAAAACTATGGAGGTTTGTATTTGGCTTCAGTGGCAGTAGAACAGTGACATTTTAAAAACATATTTATTATTTTTTCCCCTGCAAACTCTCTCTGTAAAATGTAGCAACTGGTTCAATCATCTTCCCTTTTCTGTCCTCTCACAGGTTGTGCAGCTGAACCATACTGAGAATCATGTTTCCAGCACACAGAAAATTAAAAAATACTTGAGGTGCTTTCTGGGAATTTATTTTAGTTATCAGGCAGCTTTAGGTTATTTGATCAACTACACCTGGATCTTGTCTTGATGTGAAAATTTAAACAAATATTTTTGTCAGCAGAAAATAATGCCTCCAGTAACAAAAGGCATGTTTGATGCATGTTTCTGACTCTTTTCCTCTATGTTCCAATTTTTTGTGTCAGATCCATACAGTCGGAAGAGCTGGATATCCTGTCTTCAGATTTTCAGCTAGCTGCAGTGTGCAAAATAATGCCCTGCCAAGATTATCTGTACTGAAGATATGGTATGATGAAAAGCTGGTTCTGTAAAAAGATTTCTTAGGAACACAGTGTCCTGAGATTTTGTTCCCCCTCTCATAATATGGCTACTGTTAACTGTCTGATTGTTAATTTCAGTTTCTTTTTCTCTCTTTCAGCAACTGAATGTCAAGATGATGTCTATATTACATGTGCATTAAGCGAATGGGGAAAGTTTCTCTGTGGATACCTTTTCTGCTTTTTAATAAATTCTTTCTTTTGCCTGAAGAGAATTAGAAGCTGGCTTTTGACCTCCATTAATTTTTTTAATTTAATAGTTCTCTGCATGCATTAATAAATATTATTAACCATACTTTGTACTGCAATGTTTCCATTTCCTCTTCCCCCTATGCTTTCTCATTTGCTGCAGCAGGTGCCCAGTTAAGAACAGATTGGGAAAAGCACAGGGAACAAATAGAGGAAGTCTGGGCCATATCCCAGATCTTTCCCAAATACAGTCTTAGCATGTCTCTGTCTACGAGGCTGCTTTACAACTGCCTGCTTCTCAAAGCAAAGCTATAATTATAAACTAAGGGTTGTTTGACAGCTTTCTCAAGGCAAATAGCACCACTTAAAATCCTGTAAGTTAAAAGTGATCACAAGTGTATTCTGACTGTGGTATCCTGGGTAGCTATTGCACGTGCAGATGTTCAGCCAGGCTGCACTCACTGGAAACACCTTGGTTTCCGCAGGGATACTTCTAGAACCAGGTAAAGCCATTTTAAGTGGCATTCTCCAAATCCTGCCTTTAATATCACGGTTCTTTCAGCAGATCTTGCAATATACCCCAAAATAAGTAATTCAGCTCCAAAGGTGGAGGAGACTCTAAGATTAGAGCATAACCTCAGGTCAAGGTGTAGTTACCACTGCCAAATGGCAGCATAAGCCATCAGACTTGGAACCTTCCTAGGGCTTTGTAAAACAAGTAGTGCACGGAAGTCCAGTAGCTGTTTGTTCATTTGTTACAAAGGCAAATAATTTGCTCGCTTATTTGTTTGCTAGAGATAGGAAAAAAGAAGCACCTACCCCGGCAGTGTTAGGAAGCGATCCACTCACCAGGGCTCTGGATATGGATTCATCACGCAGGAACAACTGGCCCCTCTAGTGGAGGCAGCCGTGCACTGCAGCTGTGTGTTTGTGGAGATGACAATTAGCAGTGCGAATGCCGAGCAATGCAAATCCAGCCACAGGTTTTTTGCTAGACCCATAACTTGGTGACTCGCCTGCACGGTGTCACAACTGTGAAGCGATCTTTTCTAAAATGCCCTATTGTAAATCTTCAAAATGAAGGCCTAATTTTTTGATGATGTCCAGAAAAGATAAAAGAAGAAGAAAAAAGTCAACCTTCCTACTTATAACTTCCTTTGTGCTTCTCAAGGCACAGCGCCTATTTTGCCACTGTCTCCTTGTCAATGCATGTTCTTTTCTCTAGAGGCTGTATGAATATTGTACAATGCCAAGTAGAGTTATTGGCACTTAAAAAAACCCCTGAAATAATAAGTATAAAGGATATGCCTCATATAATGTAAAAAGACTATTGCTTCTTGTATCATTTTCATCTACTGATGAAATTTTTTTTTTATTTGGCATATTAATTTTTTTTGTTTGTTATATATTATTCTACATATTTTCAAGTGCAGGATGCTGTATGACAGGTTTGAACCCTTTGGCAGCAAGCATGTCTTTTTTTATTTAGTTTTCTGGGCCCCTTAGAAGCAGTCTGCAGGCTGAAAAAATCCCCATTTACATTTTACCATGTAGATTGTTTGGATTCAGATAGTTAATGATTGGGAAGTAATTGAAAAGTATCTAATAGAATTTAACAATAATAAAGGATAATTTTGCATGAAAGTTTTTATAAAGGTCATTGTCAGAGGGAATGGATTCAGAGTACTTTTCCATAGAAGAAACAGAAAGTATAGAAATGAATAGAATGAAGTAAAGAACTGCAAATCACGCGCAGAATGCACACACCCTTTGCTTGTTTTTCAAAAAGCTCTTTCATTCTGTTCCTTCCTGGAACTCCTCATTTGTTTATCTGTCACCACAGGCTTTGCCCACATCCGTCAGCGTCTGAACTCATGCTTTTCATTCTGTCTTCTTGCAACATCTTCTTTGGCATCTTCTTATAGAAACACTAACATCACTATCTAAAAAGGTAAAAGGTAAAAAAAGAGGGGATAACTTTGCTTGCACCAGAGAAACTTGTATCAAAACAAGTACACACATAGTTCTCAAAAATAAAAGCGTTGTTTTAGCTGACCAGTAAAATAGTCCATAGGTTTCCATGGCAGTTTTATTGGCTGGCTCAAGAGCATATCTCAATCAGACACTTATACTTTTTTGGTCCTATTGGGGCTCCTTAAGACAAACATTTTTTAAAGATTATGAAACATGTCAAACAAAGGCAGTGAATCTACTCCTATGACAAAACTTAGGTGTAACAAATTATTCCCTAAGAGTTGGTACTAAAGCCAGTTTAGTGGTCCAGAAAACACAAAGTAAAGGCAATCAATGCTCATTAAAGTGTCTGTCTCAGCCTTGTAACATGCAGTTTATGAACAAAATTTTGTGTTTCCCTCCATAGAACTCAGAGTAGGACACAGTGAAACTGCAGGTGTCAGAAGCCCGCAGAATGCTTAATTTTTATAGACTATTATAAACATAAAATGATCAATTAATAATTAATTTATTCCTAACATGCATCTGGTAGATGCATGTTAGGGGGGCACCTCTTCGGGAGCAACAGCACTTGTTATAGCTGGTTCCATACACAGGAGCCTTCTGAAGGAGGAAAAACTGGAAGAAGGCAGTACTAAAGCCAGTTATTTGTCAAATTAGCCTCAGAAAACCTTGGTGTTGCAAGACAATGAATATGAAATCAGAATAAGGAGAATTTCCAAGTGACTTGAACACAGAAAGGGATGTAATCTGACAAATAGATGAGTAAATATCTTGACAGGGGAATGGCATAAGTTCAGTGATCCAATAGTTCTGGTTCAACCCAGATTTCAGTGATCCATATTGCTGTGTTTGAGAACACACAAACACACACACACGGGTGAAAGTGTCTTCTAAGAAAGAAGGGTGTTATTAAAAAATTCAAATCTGAATGCAGGTTTATGTATTACAACCACTTAACCATTTATATTTCACTATTTAATTCTGTCCTTAAATTTTGTTTATGCCAGAGAATATACACATGAAAGGTGTGTGATTTTCCCATTGACACTAAGGTCATGATGGTCTCCATTTTAATGGTTGTCACATACTATATTTCTACAAATCACAATGCGATAAACTATAATGATGTCTTTTAAGATGTCATGGTATGATATATTAACAAGTATCTTGAGAAATCTAAATGGCAGTGTCATTGGCAGGATATTTCATAACAGCAACCCTATATTGTCAGAGGATCATGTCTTTCTATTTCCCTTCCTTCCTTCCTTCCTCCCCTTTTCCTCCCTTTCTTTCCTTCCCTTCTTTCCCATTCTTCCTTCCCTTCCTTTTTTGCTTTTTTTTTGCTTCCCTTCCTTTCCTTCATTTACCTCATTTCTTCTTGCTACAATTAGTTCCATATAACTTTTGTTCCTGTTGTAACACCTGCCAAACCAGAGCAGTAATACTCCCACAAAATTTCATTGCAGGGTGACTTCCCAGTACAGGTGCAGGTCTCTGATAGGGAACCCTTTAAAACAAGATCTGTAAGTCTGGGACAAACTGTATTGTTTGGAAGAAAACCAGAAATAAATAGAAAAAGAGTGGGTTTAAAATGTTTTGTCTGAAGCTGGTTACATCATGGATTACAGCCAGATGATTCATTGTCTCCATTTTTGCTTCTGTAATTCCCACAGCTGCACCAAATATCTGAAAACCACTTCATTCTGGTTTTATACACATAAAAGGGATTTTCTCTCTAAGGAATGCTTTTTGTTTCAAGAAATCACACTAGAGCTTAATATTAGTAGTTATTGAAACACTTCTGAGTCCAGTCAAATCACAGAGCTAAAGAATTCAATGTCTTATCTATAAGAGATAGCTCTGAACTGTAACGACTGTAGATGTATTCTGCAGCTGTTGAGAAAAGATCTAGCATCATCCAAGATCAAATTAGAGATAACATCAAGACTGTATTGGGAAATAAAAGAAACACAAATCCTTGAAGGGCAGGTGTAAATTGGATAAGCCCAAATCCTGTAAGACTAAGAGAATGCAAAATTTAGGGTTTGTATACCAGAAAAGTATCATATTATGTATGTGAGACAACATTAGTTTGGAATATTTGACTTCAGTGTGTAGTCAAAGAGTTGATGTATTTAAAAAAGAAAGGCAAGAAGAAATTCAGTTGTAACACTAAATCAAACTTACAAAAGTAGGAATATAGAAATTATGGGCAGGGTGAGGTACTATTGTAAATCTTGTGTGTGCAAATGAAACTAGTAAATCCATCTGTTGTGGACAAATCAAAGCCAATGTTTAACATCACATGTACCTGTAAATTTTAGTCTAATCTGTCTATCATACTGTTGCTTGTGTGTTTAGAAGCAGAAAATTAATCTATGAATTGGAACAGTAAGCTAGAGAAGCCAGTGAGATAGAAGCCTGAAACTCAGAATAGAAATAAATCAGTTTTGTTAGCCTCTAACAGATTGAAATCCTGGCAGGGTAGAAGAAATGCAAGGGCCCTGCTGTGAGACTGAGGCAGGCTCCATAGATATCTGATGAAGGTAAATGCTAGTATACTAATGAACCATTTGTGCCTGAAGGACCAATGTTGGAAAAGTTAAAGATGTTTATTATGTTTAGCAGAACTCTATAAAGCCTGCAAGGATTCTGCTGGCACCAAAAAGAGGAACTCAGCATCTTTATTCCATTCATGCATTCATAAACCCATGATTGAAACCAAAACAAATTACATACATTAAAAAGAGTTTATGAGCCTTTTTTGCCACTGGATGGGAGGATCAGTGTTACCTGTCTGTTATTTTGGGCAGCTATTAGTCTAATGTGTTCATGAGAACTTATAATGCTGGCAACTCCAACATGGTAATTTTATGAAACCTGGTTTCATAGAAAGTTTCTCATTTATCTAGAACATTTAATTTATTAAAAAAATTTATTTTAGAACTTTTCTAATCTATTTAAGTCAGGTCTAATCTCTTTTGGATTCTAAACAAGACATCAGTATGCTGGAAGTCCTCCCCCACTTGGTGGCATATGAATATAATAATAATTTTTCTAGACTTCTAGTCACTAGTAATAGAAATGTTGA